AAATTCTGTCTCTCAGAGTGGGAATGCACCTACAATGTGAATTTCAGACCCCTCCATGATTTCTAAGTGGGAGAACTTGCAAAATCGCAGGGTGTTCAAATACTTCTGCTCCTCACTGTAGGTAACCAAACCATGAAGCTCCCCCGCAGCAGCACTTATCAAATCCAGGTATTTTACTAAGTTGGAACCAGAACCAAGCCATCTCAATTTCGCCACGTCCTCCCATACAATTCTCACACATGTAAAGTATTTTATAACTAATCCTTGCATATGTGATTTGGCAGTGCTGGGCCACATGCTGACAAACACATTCTTCAGTCTACTACTAAAGCTGTAAGAGGCTGGAACATATCTGCCATTTCTTGGTTCCCTTGTTTCCCTTTGTGCACACAAGACAACAGTTTCTCTTAACCCTCCAGGTGATCCCAGTGACTGCACTATGTTATGCCCTGCTGCAACAGTCGGTTATATAATGAGTACAGTGCTTGTCTGTGTATGTGTGTCTGAGGAAGTGGGGACAGGGGAGGGGGCACACAAGAGAGAGTGATGACATCGTAAACAGTGATGGAGTTGCATGCTGCCTATCTGCTAGCGAAAGTACTCTGCTCTTGACAAGACATCTGAGGTTAAAGGTCAACATCTGTTCCTGCAGTTTCCTCACTTCCTTTCTCGCTCCTTCTCTGAGTAGATTTTTTTTCCCCCCCTACAAGGCTGGTGTCCATGTCATGTTTGAAAAATGAAAGATACATGTGAAACCATATGAGCCATGTGTTCAGAGACTGACATGTAAGTCTAATAACTGAACAAGCAACAAGCTATGGCAAAAGAATAACAATGCTCCATCCAAAAACATAAAAACATGAGGAAAAAAGATGGATACAGCCCTGTATTTACACTAATCACGATATTATCAACATCAATAACAATGCCAGTCTGGACTGAGCGCTGAATAAGTGAGGACAATCATATGTGGGACCAGGCTAAAGGCTAGAGGAGAAGCCCAGGTCTTGTCAGCTCAGTGACCGTGTCAGCCATGACTGTCTAGCTGCACTAGAGAGAAGCAGTGTTTGGCTGTGGGTTCCAGTTAATCATGAAAAACATCAGGGCCGCTACTTTGTTAGCTCCTGCTCTCTTAACATGAGCTAACTGCTCAGATTTGGGTGGTTTAATCACATATGGTCCTTTCATTGACTGACATAGCAGATACATGTTCAGATGTTGATTTGCAGGAGGGAGGTCAGTGTGTACTAAGAAATACAGCTGTTGTTGTGCTCATTTTTTTTTTTTTTAATTATTATTTCTGAGAAGACCGCTGGCAAAATTTCCTCTTGACTGACCACACGTAGCTCTAAGGGAATTTTTGACTCTACTCCCAGGGATCCAATGCTGTGTACAGCTACTGCTGTGTTAATTCACACATATAGTTGTCTTGCTTTGTTATGCATGGGCCCTTCCTGTCACTCCTTGAAGTGCCTTGAGCTTGAAGTATAAGCATGACACTCTTCAATGGAGATACACAAGCGCAGCCACCTGAGGCTTGGGATCTACTAATCCAAACTACACCCTCTTGACATGGATCTGAAGGCAAAATATTCAACTCTGCCATCTGCTGCCGTCGCTATGAGGAGCTAAGACATTGCAGGCTGTGACGCCACCGTGATGACAGGATATGCTGTAGTATCAGGAGCTGACAGGCAGCTCCACGCCTTGGGCAAAACTAAACAAAACTATTGCGTTTCCGCAGCTGTTCATACAGCAGGTAATGTGACTCAACCCGTCTACCAAGAACAGGCACAGGCAGGAGGAGAAGAAAAAAAAAAAAAAAAAAGGAAGTTTGCCGACTCTGGGGCG